TGAAGTTTGGGTACGGGAACACGTTTGGTACATTTCAGGTATGACTTCATGATAGAAGTTCTTAGATAACGTAGGGTACAAGGACTCCTAACATTCCATGAGCAAATTTATTAGAAGACAAACACTTACCAAACAGATCACATAACTATAGCACTTCATCTAAATAATAGCCTTTTCCCATTCCTAGCTTGCCCGGTAGAATTAAAATCATTTTCAGAATCAAACATTAATGCATATTGTGAAGTTAAATGGTGTGTTTGTGCATCACTAAGAGAATCAATTAATAAGGGAACAAATGTACAGTGCCAAAAGAGGTGAACGTACCTTCAGCAGAAGAAGTACTAGATGATCTAGCAGATTGCCCCAAATCTTTAGAAGTCATTCTCTGTGTTGCCCTTTCTACAGCAGGTTGAACACCATTCAACAGTGTAGCATTAGTGACAACTCCCTTAGAATCAATAGAATGATCAACAGAATTCTCAACAACTTGAACATGAGTAGCTTCATCATCTCTACCACCACAATGGACCAAATCCCAAAAACCTTTAGCTAGAACAGCATTATCATCCTCACCCACATTTTTATTTACGTCCGCAGAGGCTTCCTTCTCAAGTTGTGCTTCATTCCCCCCATCCAAATAGGAAGATTGATCATCAGATAAACCATTATCCATATTAAGAAGAGGGTCCTCAGACGCACTAGTGCTATTAGAAGGAGGCTCAGAAGTAGCTTGAGATGTCTCTGAAATAAAAAAATTGTCAAATTCAGTGGCAGCAGCCCAAAATTTGCAGGCTTAATGAATCATCATTAGGCTTCTTCTTCATCATTTTTGAAGGATGAACATAATCAGAAGTAGATCTCTTATCAAACTCCTTAGTAATCTTTCTTTTACCATTGAGATTATCAGGGTTGTGAACATCACCATCAGGCACTGAAAGGATAGACACCTTAATAGAATACATATGAGTTGAAACTCTAATTTTCAGAATCTTAGGAATATCAGAAATCATATAGCATTTCATTTTCAATCTTGCATCCCTAAGATCAACACCTCTCTCGGTATTAGAATCCCATCCAACAAGGTCACCGAAAGGCTTAATAGCCCTAGAGAACGCAGGCCAGTTCCAGAGACATGGAGGAACACCATGCAGAGATATCCAAACTATCTTCCCCCTTGTTTCAAAACATTCACCCTCATGTGGAGACCACTGTCTCACCCTCATTTTGAAGGACACAGTGGAAACTAAATCAGACTCTACTAACTCAGATAATTTCTGCATATTATTCACTTTCACTAAGAATTCATTACAAGAGTAAGCCCTGGCCTGATATCCCAATCAACGTTCCATTTCCAAACTTTCTTTAAATCAGCTAACAAGTTTGTCAAATTCAAATCCTTACCCTCAAAAACAGAGAGAATAACATAACTCTTGAATTTAATAAATTCATTGGCCAGGTGTTTAGACATATCTAAAATTGAAGTAACGGAGGAGACATTATCACCTGATTCCTTAATAACTTGATCAGATATTGTATCTTCCCTATTGAGAATTTCCTCATCAGACGCTTTCAATGGAATCTTTACTTTAGTTTGATTTTCATAAGTAGTGGCTTCCTCTAACATTAGCTGCTTGCCTTTTGGAAGTTGGAACAATAGATCTAGCCTCATGATCTGGACAAACCTGCCCCCTAAAACCACTCCCACCATTAGATATAGGGTATTGAACCCCTCTAAAATCACCATCAGATATAAGGTTATGATAAACACCATTAGATCTTGGGGTTCGTTTATCACCACCGGACCTAAGGTTTCGTTGATAAACATCATTGGAAGCTCTCCTATTATCACATGCAAATCTTGAAATTTGAGCTCTGCAAGAATCATCATCAAATCTAGGGTTTCAGAACCCTCCATTATCATCATCAGATCTATGATTTCTGAACCCTCTAAAATCGCCATCAAGCCAAGAATCTGAATGCCAATTTCGCCCAAAATCTTGAAACTCACTAGGATCTTGATCTTGAAGAGGAGGGTATCTACAATTACGCACCTCATGATCATACTCACGATAATTGTAACAGAGCCTAGGATCTCGGCAATACCTTGCCATGTGAGATGGAGACCCGCAATGAAAGCAAAGACGACGACGATGAATTTCCTCTAAAGAGAGGGGAACCATAGCTTTTCTCTTTGGAACAACTTTAGTCCATCCTTTTCCCTTTGGATCAATTTGCTCAACCGCATGATCAGATCTCACAATTCTTTTTACACCATCAAGAGACGAACCAGATCCACTTGCATCCTGAGAACCTTGTCGAAAAAGATATTCATACCATGCTTGATCACAGTTGGGCTGGATCACTAGAGATTTTGGGCCATGAGAGGGTAAATTGGGCTGAGAAGAAGAAGAAGAAGAAAGACTATGCTCAGAAACCCTAGCTTTCATAGGATTCTTTGGGTAATGAAATTGTTGTTTAACTGATGTATGATTTTGTTTGGCCATGGGAAGTATTATGAAAGTGAAATTTTTTTATTTGGGCTACATATTTTTAGTAACCTATTTACGTGTTTCCTATCAAAGGACCAACTGCAATAATGAATATTTGTGATGATGGTTGCTCATGTTGATCTTGTTACCTGTCACTTACACAACCAGGTGTATAAAGCATATCCCACACTTGTCAACAACTTCTTAAAAAAGATGTGTAATAGAAACAAACTGCTTGCTTGCTAAACTAATATCTTGATAGGGGTGCTTTCTATGTGTCATTAATCATTATACAATACAACTTTGCTCGATATGGCAATTAGTTGTGGAACTGGTGATGTTGTTTGTTTCTGCATTTTTCTGAACCCAGGGCCTCCTAAATTATCGGGTGTTAGTCTGGTGATTGCTGCCATTGTCATTCATCAATATTATGGAATTTATGAACTGCAATCTTCATTTGACATTACTCAAACAATCTTTAAGTAAGGAAAACAGAGTAATACATCTATAAAGTGAAACCTATGTGACTAGTCGAAAGGGAACTGATAACCGGGTTCTTCCTAAAATTTGAACACACTTACGTTTATGTCTTGCACGCATCGTGTGCATTGAAAGCCTGGTCCTCATTAATGAAAGGTAAGGCTGAAACCCTTGTATTCAGAATTTTGGGTTTCTCATAGCTTCCGCAATCTTTCTAATGGATTTTTGATCCTGAGTCTCTGACTAATGAAAATGCTAATTCCCTCCCTCCCTCTGATTTCATGTTTCCACTTTTCTTTGTCTTCTGTTGTGAAATTCAACACTTTGATGTCCAGTCCTTCTACAAACTTTTAACTATATCTGAGATAAGCATTGTTATGTTATAGGATTAATTTCACCAAATCCCCTAAGATTTCACCTCGCATAAGATGATTCCTTCTATTGGGGAACTATATGCTCATAACCATATATTCTACACTTCATTTATGTTTTACTAATGTCAATGATGTTTATTTACATAATGTAAAATGGCGACTCATGTAATCCTCCAAACTAGATATAAATATTAGGGACATGAACATGCGGTTTTAACAGGGAGGGAGGTTATTTGACTCAGGGCAAAAAACTTAGGGAGGTTTTGTGGAAATTACCTAGCGAATGATTGAATTATATTTCTAGATTTGTAGATGTAAGGTTGGAAGAACATGTTGAAAAAGTGCACTCATACTCGTTCAATTGCTGTAATGAGCTTAAAATCCAAAGAAAGTCATAGAACATTTTTGACAATGTCAAACCTTTGTCAGGATGTTCCAGATTGATGTCCAGGGTCAGTATGAGCAGGAGAGTTCCATAGAACCTTGACAGCCATTTGACAGTTCATAGATCTATTTTCTCAGCTTGTATTTTAAGCTAACCAACCATGATTTGCCTTTCAAATTTCCCTCTATTGCGAAGTATGTGGAGGAACAAATATCTAGGTTGTCATTGATTTCTGAGTCACGTAGCGTGATACTAAAGTAGAGATCCAGCTGCAATGTTATTGACATGCCAAATGCTAAGATCTATAAGAAACTTTGTGACACTGGATACATGACAGATGTACAAGGCAACATCTATATGTGGCTCTCAATATTGAGATGTGTAGATCTGGATGCACATGTGATCAGCCATAAGATGTTTCACTGTGGAGTTCTTATTAAGCTTAATAAGAAGCTTATTTATTTGAGATCTTGGCTCGTCCTTAAAGAATCCACTTCTATAAGAAGTTGTAATAAATTCTAGATAGTAGGAAGCAACATGCCAAAACACACCGGCAAGATACGTATTGTTTCTACTTTTTCATAATTAGAAATTTTTGTTTTTAATAATATCTGACCAGGACATAATCAACATATTGGGACATAATCAAGATATGATGACATTAAGATTTCCCTGTTGAAGTGAATGTATAAGAATAGGTCTGACCACCTTATCTTTTTTTTATCTTCCCATGTAGGAGCTCAGTTTGTCCTTCATCTTAGACAGAAAAATACCCTGAGTTTATTAAACCGATGTGGCAACAAAAGGAAAAACATATCAACATTTGTGTATAAAAGAGCATCTGATAATTGTCAAAAAAAAAATGAGAAATTTCAAAAGATCATCCTAAAACCATAGTGTAGAACTAAGGACCTGTTAGACAAGTTTCTGCAGATAACTGATAGTATAAAGATACCTTTTCCTTGGTATGCGCCTGAGATGGACAAAGCTGCATAGTACAAGAATCTACTACCTTATATAATCTGACAGCTATAGTCATTATAAAAATAAATTGAGTCAACTCTAAAGGTAAATCACCATTGACAGACGGAATATGATCATAATTTTCTTCCAGCTTGTCTTCTTAGAATAATGTTAAAAGCAATACGGACACAGATCATAAATATTGTTAATGTTCCACTTTACGAAATTTTTCTACATGATCCATTTCTGTCGTATTGTTTTTTATCTATTGAAATGGGATTTGAGTGGACAACCATGCGTTCAGAACAGGTGAAAGTTCTTGCTTTAACAGACCATGACACTGTAGCTGGTATACCAGAGGCCATGGACGCAGCAAATAAATTTGGTATCAAGATAATTCCAGGCGTCGAAATAAGTGCGGTGTATACTTCAAGGTAAAAATTCCTCTGTCCTATGCAAAGATTTTTGTTATATCATATCGCATCCTTTTTTTTCAACAATAAGTTGGATGACTCTTTCTTCTTGATATCATAAAAAAAATTCCGCTTAGGAGGCTAGCATCATGCCTATGATCACTTTTTGAGACAATTTCTTTGACTAATTTCCTCTTATGTGCCATCATACTGTTCTAATTTAAATTTAGAACTGCTTTGTTTACTTCTCCCAGTTGTTCATTCTTGTTAATATATTCTCTATTCTCTATTCATGTTGCACATACAGGGGAGAGCTTGGAACTGAGGAACCTGTTCATATCCTCGCATACTATGGTAGCTGTGGGCCTGCAAAGTACGAGGAATTAGATGCCTTATTGGCCAGTATCAGAGAAGGCCGTCACCTCCGTGCTCAGAATATGCTGTTGAAACTGAATAAACTAAAAAAAACCATAAAATGGGAGCATGTCTGTAAGATTGCAGGGAATGGAGTGGCTCCAGGAAGGCTTCACGTAGCTCGAGCACTGGTTGAAGCTGGTCATGTAGAGAATTTAAAACAAGCATTTAGCAGATATCTCTATGATGGCGGACCAGCTTATGCCACGTAAGAACACAACATTCGCTTTCATAACATTTTGTGGAGAAGTAATCTTATACAAAATACAATATGGTACTCTTGTTGTTTTAATCACAGAGGTAATGAGCCCATGGCCGAAGAAGTAGTTCAATTGATTTGTCATACAGGAGGAATATCTGCTTTGGCTCATCCATGGGCTTTGAAAAATCCAGTTTCTGTTATCAGAAGCTTGAAAGCTGCTGGCCTTCATGCTATGGAGGTCTATAGAAGTGACGGGAAGGTTTCAGGTATGATGTTTGAACGGAATACTTAGGAAGGGAACAATAATTAAGAAATGGTCATTTTCACTAAACCCCGCTGAGCTTTGTGGTGTCTTACGCCCCCCCCCCCACCCACCCACCCACCCAAAAAAAACCCACCCCAACAAAAGAAAAAAGAACTTGCTTGTAATTTGCAAATAACTAAAATTTGCTTGAGAGGAGAAAAGCCACCAATTTAGGGGAGAGAGGGATGTTGCCTGTAAATGACTAAATTTAGGGTTCCCCCCCTCTCGAAGGACAGTTTAGTTACTTGCAAAGAAGGCTGGTGAGGAAAGTTCAAAGTTCAGGGGTTTATGTGCAAACCCACAAAGTTGTTCTTTGTTAATAGTTAATACAAATTTACCCATTTCCTGACTGTGAAAATGGAACAGGAGAGTTTTATTTCTTTTCCATATTATATTGCGAGTCCTATCTTGATTGGAATACCTCTATTCCGTTCCATTCTGTTGCTTCTAGCGTGCTTTACTGAAGACTAGTTTGCTTGTTTTTAATTTTTCAACGTGGAATAATGTTCTTCAGTGTTGAACAGGATTCAGTGACTTGGCTGACAATTATGGGCTTTTGAAGCTTGGAGGCTCAGATTATCATGGAAGAGGTGGGCACGATGAATCTGATCTGGGAAGTGTTAAGCTTCCAATTCTAGCTGTTTATGAGTTCTTGAAGCTTGCTAGGCCAATTTGGTGCAATGCTACAAAGGACATCCTGTTATCTTTTGCTAATGACCCGACTGAAAATAACCTAGAGAAAATTACGATGTTTGGAAAACCGAAGAATCTGAAGAGCAATTCAACCAGTGGTAATGGCATTGTTGAAATGTGCCTGTCTTCTTGGCTGACTGCTGAGGAAATGAAGGCTGTTGAATTTGAGGCCATCAGGCTGAAACTTTCTCAGGTTTCTATGAGTCAACTTGCTGGAGTGAGCAGGTGACTTCGGGTATAAGTTTCTAAAATAACTGAGTTATTTTCACGGCTACCTTTTCACTGCATCTAAATGCTTATCCCTGTCAAAAATAGTGGTTTTATTTTTGTACACAATGGGTATAATGATGTCTGAAGAAGCACAAATTTTGAAAGGGATGTATAGTTTGGTGGTCGGTGTTTTTTACCAGTTATTTAGGCTTAAGTTTAAAATGCTCATGCTTGTTTTATACTTTTGAAACTGCTACTACTTATCTGTGGTGCTCCAAGCTCTTTTGAGATGCAACATTAATGTTTTATATTGCAAAATTGATACGGAACTGCGCCTATTACTCAATTTATGCTTGAATTCTTTTAGATATCCACTGATTGATAACAGATGTAAAGTAATAAGAAGCGTTGTCATCTATATTTTTATATATATTATTGTATGGAGGTCCATTACAAGGGATATAAAATCTTAATGAGGACATCTATCATGTTAGATCCGTCTTCTTCGTTCTGCGTCTTTCAGTGACACCGATTTTTGTTTCATACACCATTAATTATAATTGTATGGTTATGTTAACTGGAGATTCTTAGTGACATGTATGTAGGTGGTGTTAGGGATAGTATACTAGATATGATGTATGATTTGGTTTCAAGTTCATTGCTTTCTATATAATCGTTGCACAAGCCCCTTCTATCCCTCTCGTCCTGTGCGCGCGCGCATGTGTATATATAATCTGAACATGTTCCCTTTCAGCCACGTTAAGTTTTGCCATGTTCCTTCGTGTGAACGATAGTGTCGTTCACGCATCTTTCGTTCGTTATGCAATGGAACTAGCCTATGTAGGATTTTCTAATGGGTTTTGAGGGTTTGAGAGAAATTTGTTTACCTTTAAAGCAGCTTGGAATTTGCTCAGTGTCAGTCTACAAGGAACACAGTATGAAGTGTTATGGTGCAGCGTGCTATCTTTTACTGAGATTAAGCCAGCAGCATATATTACTTCGTGTTTTTGATTAATGTGTTGCGCGACGTATTGCTGTGGAATTAATGAGAACTATATTACAGGACTGTTATCATTTACCATGTTGGACAAGTGTTAATGGCGTGGCAAATGGTTTAGGGCATCCCCATTCAAGTTGATGTGCGTACGGGCTTGTTCTCATGAAACATTAGAATGTCTTTTAAACTCAGTGGTTCCTTATTTTTGGCATCCATTTAGGAACTTGAAATTTTTTCGCATTTTGCAAAATTTTGCTGCGCGGTAATACTTCTGCTTGTTCTGACAATGAAATGTCTTCAAGTTTGGTTGAAGTTTGGCTGACCATGTAAGCATGGTTGGTATGGATTTTGCCTCTTAATCAATGTCGCGATCAGTTTGCTCTTAGCTTAAGTTTCTTAATTGACTATGATTCTTTTCCATATGTCTGAACCATTTTATTGAAGACTGGAATAGGGTTTAATCTTCTTAAGCTGAAATGTCCTTTGCCTCCCCTTCATCAATTTATGATATGGATCCATATATACATATTCTACATGCCCAATCATTATTGGTATCCTATCAAAAGTTGAAAAAGATAATTATATCAATGTCCTATCAGTTAACAGATAGATATTTGATGTATATTATCTGTCTCTTCCACTAATAGAAAAACGATCAACCTAGACGGAAATTTCCGTCTAGGTTGATTGCAATTCCGTCTAGATTAGTTCATCTAGACGGAATTCCGTCTAGTTTGAGTGATTTATTTTGCTTCCGTCTAGATTGCTTCATACTAGACGGAATTCCGTCTAGATTGATCAATCTAGACGGAAGTCAACCTAGACGGAATGAAGAATTCCGTCTGGGTTGGCAACCCAGACGGAATTCCGTCTGGATTACCAACCCAGACGGAATTTCCGTCTAGGTTGGTTTTTTACAACCTAGACGGAAATTCCGTCTAGGTTGATTCAATCTAGATGCATTTTTTCAGGAAAAAAAATTTAATTAAAATTTGTATTTCCCTGTACAATTACATTAATATTTGAATACATCCAGAAAATACTGTACACGCCACATTCAACCATCCAATCATAATCAAAATTCATAACAATTCCATTCAAAAACATCTATATAACCAAATCCAACACATTGTACAAATCCAACCATCCACTTCAAAATATACATCAATCAGTTCCGTCTAAAACACATCCAACAACATATATACTAACAATGCACATGACTAAGATAATACACGACATGAATAAATGTAGTGTTATAACAAATAAAACTGTTTATTGCATTAAAAATAAAAAAACCTCATCCATCGTCGTCGGCGGGGGTATCTCTATCCCGATTACGAGAACGGGTGCTGCTCCCTCCAATATCTCCACTCTGAATGTTTAATTGAATAATCATTATGTGGTGTTTGATAACATATTAGATAAAAATGAATTTATAAATATAAGAAAAAATAAGGTACCTGAGCACTACTCTGTCTAGCGCCAGAATTATCGCCAATCGAGCTAATGATCCGTATGACACCACCATACGCGCTATAAGGAATAGCACCGCCTAAATATTGTATAACATACCCCATGAGATCGTCCATCGAGTTCGCCGTCAGCGCAACTCTAGTCATCTCATTAGTCACCTGAATATGCAGCTCCGGGTCAATTTTGTCAATCAGATACGCAGAGATACGTGCGACAAATGGCATAGCCTGGAAACTGCTTGTGGCTGCTCTCGTCGATGTAGATGGTGTGGAGGATGCTGTGGACGATCTGATGCTTATACCAGATGAAGCTCTGACACCATGCAGAGGATATCTTCCTCTCCTATTATTAGGGAGAAATAAATATTAAACTTTGCTCTCAAATTCAATAATGGTAAACAAATATAAATAGTATGTAGTATTCAAATTGATTCGATTTTTCACCATCCTTACCTATTATGACCCATCAGGTTCTGTGTGAGATTGATGTTCTCCTCTGCAGAAAGCATGTGAGGGTCTGGCTCGGTTTGTTCCTCCTCCTGCGAAATGTAGACAGATGCAGCCTCCTTGGATGCGGTCTCAAATCCCTCCTAAAGCACAAATTTATAGTTAATTCAAGATAATGACCATATTATTTGTGTTCTCGTTTCCTCGTAATGTTTACAAAATAGAGTTAATAATACTACTCAAGATATGTATAAGTCTCACCACTAACTCGAGATTTGCCGTGATCTTATCCCGATTGCATGGCAGGTTTGACATCCTTGGTTTCACCTCGGACTGCAGCCTTGTGTGAACCCAGGGGCGTCACATCTTATCCCGATTCTTCTCATCACCCCTATATTATTCACGAAAAGTACCATATACCGCTTTTGCCCTCAAGTGTATCAGCATTAATGATTTCCCCTATCATATTATAAATTTTGAGATTTCATAATCATACTAAATATTAAGATCTTTTAAATCTTTAAATGACATATAACGTATCCTGACAATAAACATCCTCCAGATTGGCGTAGGAGTGTGAGCCCAAGTTATGGTCATACAGCATCTTTCTTCTATTTTCTGACCCATTCGTGGATTTATTCTTTAAAAAAAATCTATAAATATAAAATGAAATAATATCTTAAAATTATAAACTAAATTTCATGAAACTAACATTAGCGGCATCGTTGTCCCAATACATGAGGAGAGCCGTGAAATGAATCTCGTCAACTCGGTCATCGAGGTTTAAAAACCTCTGCCAGTCCTCCTCATACCTGTCATAGGTTTTATGTTTGATCTCATGCCTCCATTGTTTGAGGACTACTTCAACCTTGACATTAAACACATAATTCCAAGCCCCCTCAAAGTTCTCAAGGCAAAAGCAGTCCTGTAGATTTACATACACATTTAGTAAGGATAATTTAATATCAGTTACTAATTATTAATAAATGAAAATCTAAAACAATATGCACTTACCATAAGCTCAGTTCATATCGCCTCGTATGCGGTCCATGGTAATTCTCGAAAATGAAAATAAGGGTTGATAATGGTCGCTCTACGCACGAGAACCCCAATATATGCATTCAATCGGGTCGACCAAGGACCAACGGGCAAATTAGAACTATTCCACCTAATAATGGCCCTCATTCCTCTTGGCGGTTGTTTAGACTCAGGCTTAGCTCCGCCACGTCGTCCCTCTATGCGATATGACTTAGCACATACAATAATAACAATATGATAATATATCATATAATATACAAATATGAAAATTAAAAGTATTTATACAATTTACCATTCGCTATCTCTCTTTCTTTTGCGGCGAGTGCATTAGCTTTCCTAGTCTCCAACATAGGAAGCATTTCCTGTAACTTTCTCGCAGCACGTGGGTGGTACTTCCTTGAGTCAGCCTTGGACTTATGAGAGTCCGGAGGTAAGGGTAAACTGAGATAGTCCTGTGCCTTTGGCCGCAAGTCAGTATAGAATGTATATGATGGATATGTCGGGGTCCAAGTAGCACCTACATAAGAAAGAAGAATTATTAATATTAAATTTTAATTGATCATTATCAATTATTAAATATGTAATACCTATGTCGGGGGATGGTTCTGGTGTTGCATCAGAACCGCCGGGTGATGAATATCTCGCATCTGCAACAAATGAACACTATGAGCTAGATAACTAAAAATTTATAAAATATATTAAAGTATTAATTAATTTTTATACCTGCATCCGGAGATGGTAGTGTATCATCAGCACCACTACCTGGGGTGATACTCCGTGATCGATCAGCCGACTGGTCAAAGAGCCTCCTAATCCTCCTCATCTGCAAATTTAATAAAGACAATTGTTAAGAAAAAATTGTATAATTAATGTTTTTATTATGATAAGATAAAAATCGATAATGTGGTGTAACATATATAGTTCATACCTACATCCAGCGCCACATTCTGTGCATAAGAGAATTCTTGCCAAACATCATCTGATGAACCAATTGGTTCACTATAATTATCTTCACTTTCTTCAATATTTTTTTCATTGTTATTAGGAAGAATAACAGATCTTGGTGTTGGCCTTCTTGTTTTCCAATCAGACATGACATTCGAATCTTTCACAAAGAAGCACTGATCAACTTGTTCTGCGAAAATGAATTTCTCATCCGTACATACTTTTCGGTGAAGATTGACTAGTGTAAATCCATAATGATCCTTTTGCTTTTTTGCAATGTCGGGTTGAAGCCTTGCAATTCAAAGTTCAAGATCCAAGTTCAGCTTCATCCGCAAGTGTACCAAGTCGAGCTTATTGAATATCAAGATCTAGCTTGGGTAACTTAGTATAGGTTTTATATTATGTGTGTTAAGTACGTTAAGCTCAATATCTATACACACACATTTA